GAGTGCGAAAGTGTATTAGCGCCTAAATCTTATTCTTTAACCCATAGCTGGAGGGAGAAGAGGTAGATTCGTATCTTCCAAAACTGTATTTGCGCATATGTGAATCTAACGAAACCGATTGGAATTGAAACACAGCTCTCCAGATTAACAACTCCGAGTCTGGTATTCCCAAGCGGTCACCCATCTAGTCACTGTCCAGGCTTGACGTGCTTAACTACGGTGAATCGTACGGGAAGAAGTGTTCATCGTGACATGATCACAAACCGTAAGCAGATGGTGAAAAATACGTGGAAGAAGAAAGAAATAAAAAAGAGAGGAAGACGGAAAAACAAAACAAACGAAAGTATAAAACTAGGAGGACGTAGAAGAGATAAAAAAAAGAGAAAGAAGAAAAAGAAAAAAGAGAAGGAAGAAGGAAGAGGTAAAATGTAGAGGAAGAGGGGAAGAAAACAAAAGTGAGATATAAAGAGAAAGAGGGTGAATGCAAAAGAGGAAAAGGTAAAGATTAAATGCGGGACAAGAAGAGAGTGATAAAAACGAGGAAAAGAGCAATAAAAAGAGAAGGAAGCAGAAAGAGTTATATGAAGAAAAAGAAGAAGAAAATGATAAAAAGAGTAAGCAAAAAGAGAAATAAGAAGAAGAGGAAAGAGAAATAAATAAAAAGAAGAAAGAAGAAGAAATAAAAAAAAGGATGAAAAAATGTAAAAAGAGTAAGAAGAATAAAAAGGGTTCAAAATGAAGAAGCAGTCGAACAAAATGGAGGATGAATTGCTGCCATCTGTTGCTTCGATGTTCATGTCTGTATCGATTGTATCAATAATGGCGTATGAATCTTTCCAGCCGGAGATTTACGTTGAGGCAGAATCGATTCAAATTTGAATTGACTACGGTTTGGACAAACAGATATTCGTCGGCCAAGTTCTCGATGACCCGAGTTATTCGATCCATCATTCCCAACCTTAGTCTTGAACCCGGCCTCTGAACCAGTCTCTGAAAAAATGCCATTTGTGCAAACATCTTTGGACAAACAATACTTTAATGAAAGTACAACGGACAATGAGCAACAGAAGGTAGTTCAAAGCGGCGTCCATTTTGGGCGATAAAAAAAATGCGCCAAATATCGTTAGGGCAGTAGACATCTTGTGACAAAGAAAGAAGGAATTTGTCATATCACAAGCCAGGGCGACTGCTGTCTGCTCTTGGTAAGATTACTTCGCAAGCCATTGCTGCTATTAGATATTGGAATACTATTTTTATAAATTGTTCACCTAATAAAAGGCCCTAGAGGCGCACAAGGTAGAGGATTACTGAATGAGGTTGTATAGACGTAAGAAGAGGAGGTAAAACGAGAATTTATCGTCATCTTTTATTTTCTTTTATTGTCCTCTATCATTAATATTAATTTTTCTCTCAGATTCTTTCACTCTCTGTAAACGCTTGCGTCTTAGTGGCTTTGGGACCTTGCTGGGGAGGGGGTGAAAAAATAAAAATTGCGGGACGGTTTGGAATTAAACGAAAACAGGAAAAAATACTGAGCTGTTACGTGACATCTGTCTTTCTTTACGACAGCGAACGATTACCTCAAAGATAAAAAAGAGACTCGAGGCGAGAGAGATGTGGTTCTACAGAAGGATGCTGAGAATAGTAGGGACCGATGGTGTGAGCAACGATAAGGTCTTAGAGAGAAAGCAAACAAGAAGGAGGCTTATACTTAACATCAGGAAGAGGCAGCTGAAGTTTCGGGGACACATAATGCGGAAAGATGGCCTGGAGAATCTGATACTCACGGGTCGAATAGAGGGTAAGAGAGACGAGGGAAAATTCTCCTCATCTTTGTCAACATATTTATCACAACGTTTCGGCCTTTCAGTATCTATGTTTCTGAGATGAGGTATTATGTACACTATTTACATTATTCGGACTATTGTCCTCATCTTTGTCGCCATATTTATCACAACATTTCGGCCTTTCAGTATCTGTCTATATTTCTGAGATGAGGTATTATGTACATTATTTACATTATTCGAACTATTGTCCTCATCTTTGTTGCCATATTTATTACAACATTTCGGCCTTTCAGTATCTGTCTATATTTCTGAGATGAGGTATTATGTACACTATTTACATTATTCGAACTATTGTCCTCATCTTTGTTGCCATATTTATTACAACATTTCGGCCTTTCAGTATCTGTCTATATTTCTGAGATGAGGTATTATGTACACTATTTACATTATTCGAACTATTGTCCTCATCTTTGTTGCCATATTTATCACAACCTTTCGGCCTTTCAGTATCTGTGTATATTTCTGAGATGAGGTATTATGTACATTATTTACATTATTCAGACTATTCTCCTCATATTTTTGTTTCAGCCTTTCATATTTATTACAAAGTTTCAGCCTTTCAGTATCTGTGTATATTTCTGAGATGAGGTATTATGTACACTATTTACATTATTCGGACTATCTTTGTCCTCAAATTTTTTTCAGTATCCATATTTATTACAATGTTTCGACTATTTCTCCTCATCTTTGTCCCTTCAAAGTTTCTGCCTTTCAGTATATTTCTGAGATGAGGTATTATGTACACTATTTACCTTATTCGGTCTATTGTCCTCATCTTTGTCGCCATATTTATCACAACGTTTCGGCTATTGTACGATCTGGCCTTCTTCAGGTGGTTGGAATGTCGAACTGAACCATTCATTTCGCTCTCTGTGGTAGACTGTTCTAGTTCTACGTAACACGTCTAGTGGATTTCAGTCATCAGTTATCTCTTGTTAATTTCCCTCTGCAAGTTCTCCACTGCCTTACCCAGGTATTGAACTCACAAAAAATTACTAAATGTGAAATAACTGAAACTGAGATATCCAAAAAAGACATGGCATGTGGAATTAGAATAATCTACCCGCGTGGACTAAATAAAGTGGTTTGGTTCAAAATTCCAACTTATATCACCTGAAGAAGGCTGAAACGTAAACGGCCCTGAATATGGCATTAAAGATGAGGACAGAAGTTCCAATGATGTATAAAGAGCAAAAATGAAATACGTAATATCGTATCGAAGTTCGTATCTCTTCGGGTTAATTTTATTTCTTCCATAATAAATTCCATCTTTACCGAAACCATTTTGATACGCCTTCGGAATTCGCTGCCATACTTTCCATCTTCTTTTACCATACTATATGGATTTTACTAGTATGCAAATGGACTATTCTCATAACCCGTATAATATAATATATTCAGTAGCGGAGCTAGAATATGTACTTGCCCCGTGAAGAGTGTGTATCACCCCAGGGCAAACCTTGATTATGCTTCTAATCCCTCCCTCTATGCCCGGACCCACACCCAAAAATTCAAATTATTACACATTGATTATATATATATATATATATATATATATATATATATATATATATATATATATAAATCATTGAAGTTAACACTCAGAGGCGGTAGGCTGTTTCATCCAGCATGAAACAGCCAGTCACCTCTGAGTGTTGACTTCAATGTTCACTTTTATATTTATATTTACATACGCTCTCTCTCTATCTATAAAAGGCATGTGTGTGTGTGTGTGTGTGTGTGTGTGTGTGTAACGAATGCACGTAGCAATTTTCGACGGATTTGCACCAAAATCTACATGCACATGCTCCAAGTTAGTGAGAAGGACAAGACCGACTTTGCATTTCACAACTCCCATCGATAGTGGAAATAATCGATTTTTTCATACTTTTACGGCAGTTTTCATGTAGTTTGCGGACATTTTGTACTAGCCATAATGAGAGCCAATAGCTGGCTGCCACGAATAGGCAGGAATATTCTACTGGCCAGCGTGAGAGCCAACAGCTGACTGACACGAATGTTAACTAGCACGCTAGCATGAAAAAAATCGATAGCTGCATTCGTCACAAGTGGGAAAAATTTAAATCTGCATAGCACTTTACTTCAATTGGCTCATTCGCTTGCTTAAACTCAACGTTGATTCCGCAGAACTGGGTTGGGTGTGAAAAAGTATTTGTTGTTAACATTCTTTTTTCATTCGTTTTTTTCAGTTACGAGTCCTTTTTTAAAGCTGATCGTTTTGTGTTATGGCGCGAATTAATGCCTTTAAACACACAACTTCACCGATCTTTCTCAGTTTGTCATATCTGCTCTGAATTCGTAACCTAACGTAAACAATGACAACATATCCTAACAAATGGATTAAACCCAAACCTTAACCCTAACCTTGTCGGAGAAATCATATTTTCTACGAGATTTCTCGAACATTCAGAAAAATTTGCTAAGAGAATTTATTATACGTGATAACAATGGACTGTTTGTAATATTAGCGAAAAATTCCCTCTGCATTTGAAAAAGATGAAGAGATTGGAATATATTGTGAGCTGTTTCCGCCAAATCTGTAGTTACCTATGATAGGCGTTGTCATATGCCCTAGTCGACGAATGGGTTTATAAGGCGATCATACGCCGACCAGAAGATATATACATTATCACACCTGTGGAGAGATACAGGCTATCTCTCCCAGATCATGACAATGGACAATTAGTAAACAAAAAAAAAATATTTTAAAGAACACTGTTCGATTAGGCTAATCAAACAGTAATCTTTTCCCAGGTTCGCTTCGGTTTCAACACGAATACTGATCCACAATTCAAGGATGAACGATAAGGCGTCGTGAATTTTGATATAAGAACTTTAATATGTACAGATATACAAAATATTAAAATAAAAGAAAATATAAGCATGAGTAAAACATCCGACGACCAGATCTCGAGACTGGGATATCAAAATACGCCTAACTCCAAATGGATTCGACTGAACCCGAACGGATAAAAAATATAAGTATGAATAACTACGAATGCAGAAATCAACACATAACCAAAAGAGATGGGATAGGAGTTACATATTATTATTTTGACATGTGGAAAGGTGTTTGTAAGAACATAATATTTATGGATGCATGTGTATCTTTCTAACACGGGTCCAAAATATATGATTACTTATCTTTATAATCAGTTCTCTTTTTTTATCATTGTCCTTTCTTTTCTTTCTCAGGTTTCCTCTTTTCTTTCTTTCCTTTTCTTGACACAAATACGATTTCACACACTGTCCGGCTGTAACAGAGATATACCCTTTCTTCCTCTCTCTGGTTTTCTTTTTTCTTTCTTTCTTTCTTTACACAGTTCAGCTTGTAACAGAGATATATACTTTCTTCCTCTCTGGTTTTCTCTTTTCTTCAAACGCAGGCTGTATTCTCAGCGTACAAATTCCTTTGCGTCTTCTGTGATAAACCACGCGAGCTATCGTCTTCAATTTGGGGTTATCGAACAGAAATACTTGTTCTTATATTTCTTGTCCGGAGTTGCCTGGGATGAATCGGACAAGTTCCATCATTATCAAATGAGTTTCATCTTTCCGTTCCTAAGTTATCAGCGCTTCGATTTCGAGTCTTGCTCCTTCAAAGACAAGACAGCAACTGACTCCCAAGTAATTTTCTAACTCTCACGTGTCCTGCGTTTTGGCGCAAATTCCAGCTTACATCAGTCCCCTGTCTAGCTTCTGTCTAGACGTCTGTTGCTATGGGTAATTGGGGTCAGTCAACCTCTTGACTTGCTTTCCCAAAATATCTCGAGACTTCCACTTGACCTCTTCTGTTGTCAGGCGGAGATTAACCTTAATGTATGCATGTATGCCTGTTTGGGCTCTCTGCGTCCGTCACAGGCGTACAGAATTCGTCAATTAAAAAGGCGTCATTTTCCATCAGGGTAACGCCAGACCCCACGTCTCTTTGCCAACAAGAAATAAATTGGTACAAATTGATTAGGATGTTCTAGTATTATTTTGCTTCCTTTAAAATTCCCTTAATGTGAAGATTTGTAATACTCTGGAAGTCTGTAAAAAACCACTTAGGATAGTTCATCACTCGGAAAGATTCCAAGTTCTAGGAGAATGAAATAATGAAACTGCTTCAAAGATGGCGAAATATATTTGAACAAAATAGCAGAAATGTGGTTGAATAAATATTTGTGCAAATATCTAACTATTATCTTTGAAATTCACTTAAAAACGCTATGAAACTTTGTCCCGATCCAACAAACTTTCAAACAATAGAGATTACTGAATAAAAATATTTCTAAAATGATTCTCGTCAATCTTCATGAAGATGTATGTATTAATATTTTTTTTATGTTCATTTTAGCGTTCTTTTCAGACTTTTCGAAGGCTTGATAATTAATGTTACAGTGTCATGAGTAATGACGATATACTAACGTGACATGCAAGACATATCTTTCACGATCAGCAATCAATTTTCGCCTTATCGCCCGTAAATTTCTCGATCCCCGCCTTATGGGAAGAGATCACAAGATGGTCACAAGGCGACATTTTGAAACACAAAGCGAAAACGGAATATTAATAGGCGTCACCGGAGGAATATTGTGATAACAAACGCGACAAAGATTCCGAGAACTTATCCACATTAATTTTTCTAGTTTCTGATGGTTGACGCTTGCTACTTGACGCGATTTATGCATATGAGATCTAGGAAAAAAAAAAAAAAAACAAAACAAAACAAAACAAAAAAATGTTCAATAAATGCTTCAGTATTTGGTTGAAATTATATCGTCTGCCAAAGATAAAGACATTTTATTCTCATCTCTCGGGACTACGCATGCGCATAGGGGGTCTTCTTGATTACATTCGCCATTTTTATAGTGAACAGTTTTTAAGATTTACAAAGTTTGGGGACATTTAAGGTTTAGTAACTGTCCCTATGAATACTACAGCACACACACACACACACACACACACACACACACACACACACACATATATATATATATATATGGGAAAACGCTATATAAATTTTTACATATCAAAAACAATTTTAAGCAAGTGTATGAGAAAGTGGATTTTTTTGAAGGAATGAATAAAAGAAACAGAAATTTTTTAGGAATACATATTAGAAATTTGAAGAAATTTAAATAAAAGATTATATGAACACAAACGAGATCTTTAAAAAAACAACCATAATTTTGATTTACAAAAAACTATTTTAATAAAAAAAGAAGGCAATTTACTAAGACGAAAACGTATAGAAAGTGCTTTAATCACCAGAACACCCACAGTATATTTACGCTTAGTCTCTTACAACGTTTTATCATACTTGTGGGCTATTTAATTAGAAAAGTGATGGTAGCATAAGCAAAAATAAACGGAAACTAAATCATATATATATATATATATATATATATATATATATATATATATATATATATATATGATTTGATTTATATAAAAAAAAAAACTTATGTATCCTGAAGCGTTACTCAAATTAATCGCATTAAAATCAGAGTTCTTCACTTAACTCGTAAATATTTTAACTTTGAGACGACACAGCAATTTTGTCTTTGAAAATGATGAACACAACGATATTCGTCTTGAAAAGAAATAACATCCTGGAGATGACATTGTGATAATGTCGAAAGTAATCGGAATAAATAATATGTATCAACACTGTAATTTCCACACTTTTAATAATGACACTAAAAAGCCTGTGAATATGAAAGGATACAAATGAAAATAAGTAGACAAAGCTTGTCTAAATTATTCATATATATATATATAAATGCTCGCTTGAAGATCGTGAACGCGTGAAACTTAAGTAGCGAATCGACTTGTGCTTCGTTATGGGTTGTCGTTGCGTAGTATTTTTTCGTTTGTCGGAATACCCTACGCATTGAGAATTGTGTTTTACTGATTAAGTGTTCGACTTTGGTCTTTTCTTCTTTCATAGTGTGATATTTTTGTCCAAAGGTTTTTCTTGATTTATTTTTTTTATTTATATATTGACACGCGCTTTTGTCACGTCGTTTGGCAAGTAGTCTGTTGGTCAACATTTTGCACTCCTGTAGCATATATATATATATATATATATATACACACACACACATATACACACACACACACACACACACACACACACACATATATATATATATATATATATATATATATATTTAAGTGCTCAATATAACATGGACCTTAATATTTTTAATGGTATTTTTATTTAAAAATATTTTATATTTCGACACGGAAATTTCTATGTTTCGGGACTTATGAATTTTTATCCTGTCATCAGGCAATGTTTGGTAACTTTGATGAAAATGGTTTACTTTTGAAATCAGAAAACAATGCGTTTGCTTATTAAAGATTTAAGTACGAGGGTGAACCAGATTTTTAAATCTTATGGGTGTGTCTCTTTTGTCTCATCAAAAGACAGGTGAAAGCTAAAACAGAAAAGTTCAAAATATAGTTCAGATGTTAGAAGTGATATTTATACATATCTTGGGGAACTGTCATATTAAGACACGACCTAATACTTCCGGTTAAGGATATACATTTTAGTTACGATGAAATAATCTGAGAGATATGTATATCTCTAACAACAGGTTCAATTTTGATTTTTTTAAAATTCATTTTTATATATTTTGGAACTCTCTTAAAGGGGCCTCTAGTATGATAAAATTGTTTTTATATAATTTTGAACCTAAAATACAATACTTATTTTATCTAATGGGCATTAATACATGGCAATATTAAAATTAAAAAAAATCAAGAGATTAAATCAATGTTGCCTGTACCATTATATATATTGTAATGTACGCGGGTGTAGGGTTTAAGAAAGTTTATTCAACTGAGATTACAAGGTTCGCGTATAATGTCCTTTTATAGTCCCAGTAAACAGAAATAGCTCTGTGAAAGAGGAAAGTAACAAAGCAAGGAGAGACCACTCTTGATTATTCATAACATATATAATAAAATAATGGGTATATAATTGTAATACTTAGAGTTTTATGAAAAAACCATGAACTATTTTAACGTATATATTGGATAACGATATGTAATTTTTTTTATATAGCAAGAACAATTTTAGGGGAAAGAAATATAACAATCTGGAAACTGTTTTCGCAGGTCACGTTTCGGTTTTTGAGACTTCATCAGACTAAGTTTGTGCTTACGTTGACGTAACTACAAATGCACACGAACGAAAGAGGGAGGCTGAGAATTTTAAATACTTTTTTGATTTGTATTTTTTTCTGGTTCTAATCTAAACGATTTCATTGAGATCCTTTCTCTTTTTGTTTTATGTCGCCATCACTTTTGCTATTCACGCTGTGAAAATAGAAGGTCGGCCATGTTATAAGAAACTGGGCGTAAAATTGTGGCTGATCTAGCGATTAAAGCACTTTCTATACATTTTATATATGATAATCGCTAATAAAAACCGAAGGATAGTGCTTCAGCTTACTATTAGTCATTATCAAAGAAAAAATAAGATTAGATAAATTATATTGAAATTCACCAGGAATCCAGATAAACATAAACATATTAAACAAGGCATTTTTAAAATAAAAGAGCTTTCATTGGTCTGTTGCGTATATGCTACCATTCTGCTCAAATACAACTCTCTCTCTCTCTCTCTCTCTCTCTCTATATATATATATATATATATATATATATATATATATATATATATATATATATATATATATATATATAAATATAATAATATACAAGATATATAATCCGGTGTTCTTATAGATATTTTATTTTGACAACCTCTTGCTCAATGTAAATTGCGCACTGCTGATGAGTCCCAAATATTAGGACGAAACGGACGTCCAGTGCTTTCTGCATTCTGTTGAGGTTCCTAAACTCGATGAATTAATTATATATATATATATATGTTAAGAAATGGACGAGGTCCGACAATTTATTTATTAAACCATTTTTTATTTATGTTTAACGTTGTTATTTTATAGATACAAGTATTTAAGCAAATGCTCTGTTTATGATTTATTAAATTTTATGAATTAAATAGAAAAATATTAGTTCATAGACAGGACGAACCTGCATTCGAATTTACTGTTATAAACTACAATCTTCCATGTCTTTGCTCTTATAAAAATGTCTTTAATAAATAAATTGTCGGACCTCGTCCATTTCTTAACATATGACGTCATTTGTTTACATTCGATACGCCAGAGCAGTTATGAATGTACGAGATTCATGGAAGATTGTAGTTTATAACAGTAAATTCGACCTTGTCTACCATAAGGTTCATGGTGGCCGATATATACGTCAGCGTATATGACGGTTCCGTATAGGATGCAGGTTCGAATCCTGTCTATGAATAATATTTTCTATGAAAATTGGAAGACATTCAGGCCGGTAAATGTTATTTAATACTGTTTATCATAAACAGAGCATTTGCTTAAATAATTTATCTATAAAATAACAACGTTAAACATAAATAAAAATGTCTTTTTAATAAATATATATATATATATATATATATATATAGGAAAAGAGAGAGAGAGAGAGATGGGTTAGAAAAAGAAAGGGTTAAAGGATTAGTGGTTGGTAGTAGTCAGTTTACCCAGCCGGGAATTTATTCTATAATTTCGAGATTTTTATATTGGGTTTTACCAACCACT